CCAGGCTCCCATGTGCCCCCTCTACCTGAATCACGGTGCCTGAGTCCCCATGTGGAGATGTGGTGAGCACAGCCAGATGCTATGGGGCAGGGTGCAGTGTGGGCCTATGGGCGACCCAGCGGTGCCACACGGAAGCCAAGCAGGCAGTACGCTCTCTCCTGGCCAGCCTTGCAGACCAGATCCTGTGTGAACCCACAGGGAGCCTGACCAGCTCCTGCAGTCCTAGTGACTATGGCCTGGCTCATCTGTAAGAGGCTGCATGAATGCAGGGAAGGGTCCTCGTGTCCCAGGGGAGGCCAGCGGGGGGAGTGAGAGCGAGGTCAGTGGACATCCTGCATTCTCACCGTATCTCCGTCCCTGTCACCTCTGCCCCCAGGTAGCCAGCGAGAGGTCATAGCCCCCTGCCCGGGTGCCACAAGAGGTTGGTCACTGCCACCTACCCCAATTCCCCATCCCAGCCTGGGGCCCAGCCCCAATTGGGTGATCAGGGCCTGCCAGCCACTAGTTGCCATCTATGGGGCAATTGGTTGGAACCAGGCCCCCTGCTTGGCTCCCTCAGCATCCCCGCCTCCAGTTGCTACTGCTGCTGCTGCTGCTGCTGCTGGTCGCCATCTGTGGGGCAATCGGTGGGGCAATTGGGTCCCTGATCATACCCGCTTTGGCCTGGTGCTGCACGTTCACCTGCTCCACTATCCCACCATGGTCCTGCTCTCATCGTGCCCATCAGTGCCCTTTGGGGCTGTAAGTACCTACACTGCCGCCCACCGCCAGCACCATATCATCAATGCATGCCATGTTCCACATTGCCCCTGGTGGTCAACTCACATCATAGCGAGACATTGAACTCTCAGTTAACTCCAGTAAAGGGGACATTTTGCATATTAGGCTTTTATTATATAGGATGTTTGCTTTTTAACCAAGGCATTTAGTGTCTTTAACCCAAGGGATTAAATTGTCTTCACAATTTCACCAGATATCATTTGTGAGAGGTGCTGATCCACCCTCTTGTATCCCATTGGCTAATTTCAGAAATAAATTCAAGTGAAAGACTTTAAGGAACATCTTCTCTTTGTACTTTTGGTGTGACTATTTCTTCTCCTGAGTAACCCAACAAAACTTCATCAAATATCACAGACTACGAAAGTGCTATTGGAGCCCTGACCAGTTTGGCTCAGTGGATAGAGTGTCGGACTGTGGACTGAAAGGTCCTGGGTTTGATTGTGGTCAAGGACATGTTCCTAGGTTTCAGGCATGAACCCCAAGAGGGGGTGTGCATTAGGCAGCTGATCGATGTTTCTCTCTCATTGATGTTTCTAACTCTCCATCCCTCTCCCTTCTTCTTTGTAAAATAATCAATAAAAATATATATTTTTTAAAATAAGGAAGTGCTATTGGAGAAAAAGAGTTACTACTGAGATGCATGATTGTCTGCCACAATGCTTATACTCATTTGGCATCTAATTTCATATCCCATTATACATTTCTAATATTTGTTTGAAAGCATGTGAGTTTTCTCGGTGTTATCTTCACAAGGCTATGTTTCCAAATAGAAAGTTCTTCAAAGCCCTCCAAGAAAGAGATTTGTGAAGTGGTAAGGGTGCCATGGGAATTCATGTATGACAGGAAAATAAGACCTGATGATTTGCCCTTGTACGGTGATTTTCTGCTTTGCAAAGTCCTAAGACTTGCTTTGTGGAGAAATTAGGCCCACAGCAGGAAATTGTAGGCAGGAGTTGAGGAATTCCGGGAGCTGCAATTTTCAGGAAAGTGGCAGGTTGTGTGAGGTAGAGCGAGGGGTAGGGGGGGTGATCAGATTACAGCTTCTGTATTGCTGTGCTTGATAACAGCCTGTTAATATTTTATCAGTGATCACCACATAGCATGCAGCAGCGAGCCACCACATCCGGGGAAAAGAAAGAGATAATTTGCTGGACTTCTTGTTTAAGTCTTCCCCCCAACTCCCATTAAGATAACAGAATTTCTCATCAAAGTTAGGTGCCACCTGGGAACGGAGACCAGGCTAGGTGAAGGCCAGGCTTCAGCCAGCTGAGGAGAAGCACAGACACTTCCCAGCCTGGGGCCTCTATGTCTTAGTGGGCAGCTGAAGGCATGAAAAAATCACCTGTCCATGGCCCTGGGCTGAGTGGGAAGAAATTGTTGACTCTGCAAGGCCTCATTTGCCTTCCTTTACAACTGTGCCCCTTTTCCCCACACCTGTGTTTCTCCTCTGGTCCAGAGCCAAAAGGTCTCAGGTTACTTGGATGGTCACTATCTCTGCTGCCATCAGCAGTACCATAGACTTGTCCAAGAGAAGGAACTGAGGGAAAAGAGGCTGAACCCCAGAGTCACTCTCTGCATTAGAGCTGTTTGGGGGTGTTGTGAGGTAAACTCAAAGGTGTTCTGGGTTAGCTAAGTAGTGTCTCCCTGTTTCTTCCTTAGCACTGCACTCCACCCTATTTCTCATTTCCCATGGGCCTTAAGCTAGAGTAGGGGTGTCGAACTCAATCAGAGAAGGGGCCAAAATCTAAAATCCAGCCTAAATCGCGGGCCGAATGGTTTACTGAACAGTCATAAACTGTCATTGTGATGGAAACGCAGCGGAGTGCAGTGATGACAGCACGGTGTGGGCCACATTGCAAGGCCTGGCGGGACGGATTTGGCCCGCGGGCCTTGTGTTTGACACATGTGAGCTAGAGAAACGGTTTCTTTTCATCATTCTTCCCCCAGAAGCTCAAGTAGTGCTAGAGCCTCATTTTATATTAATTGGGACTTGAGGGGACTTACATAACTTTTTAAACTAGCCCCTGACATCCCAATTTATGGCACTTTCCCCTGCTCACAGGACAGACTATATTATGCCTTAGACCACACTTAGATGTGCATGACTTATCTTTCCTTATTCACCTTTGTAGCCCTTAAAGCAGACATTGCCTGACACAGATTAAGAATGCAGTTGATGTGGGCTGGATGGCTAGAGAATTGGTTGAATGGTTGTTTAACTGACTGGGTAAAGGTCTCACAGAAAGTTGGAACTTGCCTTCCCACGAAGAAGCCAGTTTTAACTTCCACCTTCCCATTAATTATCACATAGCAGTGGGTCACCAGGGCCCCAAGGAGGGGGAACATGAGTCACCATATTATCAGAGGAATGAGGGAGGGCAGAAACATCTCTCCTTGTGCAAGGGTCATAAACACAACAGCCTTCACTATCCCCTCAGTCTATGGCTAATCTAAATTACTTTATGATGGAAGCTAATGGGGTTAGTTGAAAGCTATTCAACATGGACTCAGTTTCAAAGGGATTTCTAGGAAATTATTTAGATAGAGGCCTTTCTTGCTCAACCAGTTGCTCTTTGTTGGCTCTTCTCTGCTTTCCTCAGTTGAGGATAAATTTCTAACTCCTTCCACAGAATCTTCCCAAATTAAAAGGAGCAGGAAGAGCACTTGTTCCCTGCATATGTCACCAGTTTAGCTCAAATAAATTCTTATTTTTTTTAAAGAAAGGAAGAACCTCCCACGTCAGCCTTATCCTAAGATGAAGATAAGGTCTATGCTCTGTTTTCCTCAAAATCCCTTAGATTACAGTAGCAGAGAGAGGTAGGAGGGCTGCAGAAATCTAAAGAGCAATAGGTGTTCCTAACATAATCATAGATCCTGTGGGAAGGGTTTCCAAGCTTATTTTCAGACTCTGACACTCTATGACTTTAGGGAAATTACCTCTCTGAGTATCCATTTTGTTTCCTGCAAAAGATCCATTTCATTGGGGTATTTAGAGCATGTAATAAAGGTGGATCTGAAAGTGTTTTGGTTGCCAGGAGCGGGGCATTGGAGCCCATACCAGACTGGTGCCCACTTATAATAGTATAGCAGAGTCAGCAAGACAACCCATCTTCTAACCTTCAGCGGCCCCAGTTGAGAGCACTTGGGTTCCTGGTTCCAGACCAGAGATGTTATCTCTTATCAAACTTCTGTTCATCAAGCCCTCTCTCCACCTTTATTCCTGCCTGCTGGCATTCCTTCTAACTGGGCTTGGATGGTCACTATCTCTGGAGTCCTAGCCTCTGCAGCAGAGAAGGCTCACTTCAGTAGTGCAATGATAGTAGTGCTTGTTATAACAGGCTCCTGTGTACTGAGGCCCACTAGGTTCAGGTGCTGGGTAAGCTGAATCCTGTAGGGCCCCATTATGGTCAGTGTTGTCATAGTAAACATCTTCATGAATTGGGCTTTGTTAATTACAAAAGAAGTTTAAACAGGGCCAAATTGTTGGCCTCCCAAAATCCTATACCTCCAGAGTTAGGGTAATTGGAACTGAAGTGTTGTGACTTATTCAAATATAAGCTCGGCATTTTCTCTGATGGGACAGTTAGCTGAGCCCAGGCTGGCCAGCTGGCCAGCATGGCAGGAGGGGCAGTTCCAGGTGGTATACTCAGTGAATTTGTCCTCTCTCCCAGATCCCCCTCACAGGAAACCAGGAGACCCTATGTATTCCCAATGTTACCTTGTTGGCCATAAGTTATTTTCCTCAGGCAGTTTGGGGACTACTGTCAGGCTCTTCCTATTGGCTGAGAATATTATTGGATCAGCAGAGTCCTATTTTGGGAGTCAAGAGACTGGAACACTAAAACCATCTGTGTAACCCTAGAAAAATTTCTTTACTTATATGGACCTTAGTTTCTCCATCTGGCAAATGGAGATTATCATATCTATTTCACTTTCTTCCCAATGTTAGTCAGAAAATGAAAGGAATAAACACATAGCAAATTTAGTAAATAACTTAAATTGTTTCAATTATTTTGAAAAGGAGGAGCCCTGTGCAAGATGAAAAGATTAAATTTTCTTGGGGAGGAGGCGCTTTACTTTCATAATATCTTCAGAAAAGTCTAGAACTTTCTGTCCACTCAGAGGGAATAAAAGCCAGTTTCCATCCTACCCTCCCCTTAGCCCAATTCTCTCCATTACGCCTGCCCTGTATGGGCCACTTTGAAAGAATAAAACAGTTATTCAATCAACAAATGTTTATTGATTATCTACTATTTGCCAAACACTCTTACAGATCTTTATCTGTAAGTCTAGAGGATACATATATGTCTAAGATATGGCCCCTACCCTACAAAAGTTTACAATGTACTTGTGAAATCAAATATACAAACATGAAAATATAACTATGCATCAAAATTGTGAATGATAAGCATCAAAGAAGTGAATTGTACATTGAGGGAGGGGAAGAAAGGGACAGAGTGGTCTGGAGAGGCTCAATGGAGTAGATGGTGCTGAGCAAGTTGTTCAGCATGAGGAAAACTTTGCAAAAGGGATAGGGCTTTCCAGTCTGGAAGAACAGCTTAAACATAGGGAAGGAAGTGGAAAACATGCAAGGCACGCTAGATACAATGAATGGGCCCTTTCTGCTGGCACTGAGGTTTGGGGAGGTGTACTAGAGTTCTTCGGAAGTTGTGAGCAAAAATGCCTTTGGTTTGTTTATGACTCACACATCCACCTCTACTTCAGGGGAAATGGAGCATTTTCAGGTCTTGGATCTTGAACCGTCTGCTTGGGAACCATTCTGTACTTTCTCACCTCACCTGAAATCCCAGGCAGCAGCTTAGCTATCACTCAGATCAGGGCCATAACACGTTGGGCCTGATTATTCTATGCTGAAGCCCTTGGATGCATTTTAGCAGCTCAGGAGTATCTGGTGATGGAAGATGTGGGGAATATGAAGGACAATAAGGAGGCCCACCTTGTACTGTGGTCTTTCAGTCTCTGTAGTGTGCTCTATGGTTAGACCCCTGGGTGTCTGATCTCAGCCTTTGAGCTGATTTTCTATTAGGTTTGAAGTCTCTCTGGGAAGCTGACTCTCTCTGGCCCAAAAGAAACATCTACTAAAGAAGCACACATGTCCACCTAGCTTCTGATATATCAAAGTCCTTATTCTTTCTTGGGCATGATATCTTTCCAGGAATGATATCTTTCACAGTCCCCATAGCTCCCACACTCTCACCTCCCAGTCAAGGGCCATCTCTAGAAAAATTAATTTCCCATTCTTAAGGAAATCATTGTGTGGGGCCCTTAGCCTTGTTATTTAATAGGAGGCCAGGTCAGGTGCCTCAGAGGGAGGCAGAAACTTCAGTGAAAGTTGGGGCTGCAGCTTCTGAGGCAGTTCCTCAATGGAGTAAGGGTCTGCTGCTGCCTGGAGTGGAACTTTACATCATATCTTCTTTCCTTGTTTTCCTCTAGCTGTGGGCTAGATCCCTAACACAGAAGTGTGAGAGAATTCTGGAATTTCTCTGAGAAGTGGCTCTGGTCTTTTGGGTCCTCAGCTACCTTCCTTCCCTGTCATCCTGCATCCAGTTGTTCTTTGTTCCCTCTGTACAGTGTGATGGCTCTATTTCTGTTTGTGCACAAATGAGTCTGAGCACTGTGGAGTCATAACAAGACTGGAATGGACTCTCCAGGGCCCATTAGTGGCCAGTCAGCTTATTTGGAGGGAAGCTTGAGGAGGAGGATTTTAACCATCTTTATAAAAGCCACCACTCTTTCTTTTCTCAACCCCCACCAATGAGCTGAGAGTCAACCTCAGCCAGAGGGATGGTCTTTGATCACAGAAAGCGTCAGTCCATGGGATGTGATCAGTGGGTTTATGAATGGATTACCAGGTAAACCAAAAAGCAAATTGGAGCTATGGAGTCTGGCCTAGAGTAGGGGATGGATTTGGAGTTGAGGGTTGCACGATTCAGGGTGTAGGGTTGGGAACTAAGGTGAAGGAAACAAAAAGACTGATTTGGTAAGCATATTGACAGTTCAACCTGGACACTGTCACACCAGCATTCATTTTTGCATTCTCTTGATCCCATGGCCAAAGTCAGTCTATCCTCAGCACCACCTTCTGACATAATCCAGCAGCAATGTCCCTCACCTGTGGCCCCGAGGGAGGGGGGGGGCTGTCCACTGGTTTTTACAAACCCAGCCACCACCACCCCCAGCTCTAGCCCCTGGTTCTTCACACATACCCTGTCAGGCTGTAGGAGTTAAACTCATTCTTGACTTTGGGTGGTTGACCAGGTGTTGGAGAGCTCCTAGTGGCGAGGGGCTGGGCCTGGTAGGCATCATAGTAGTTAGGGCGATTTCCCTGGGGTGAGCAGGAAAAGGAGAGGATGACTCCAGCTACCAGGGAGAACAGGGAGGAAATAATGCCCAAGTAAAGGGCCTCTCCAATTTCAAATTTCATGCTGTCAGGCACCATTGGGGAGTAGAAGTCCCGCAAGATCCCATGAAGATTCCAAGCAACAGGGATGAAGCTCAGGAGGCCTCCAAGGATGAATAAGACTCCACCCACTATCGCCACTCTGTCCTTGGCTCGGGAATCCTGGCAGAAGACTGTGCATCTCATGCCCACCACAGAGATAATGCAGGCCAACGAGGAAATTGCACTGGACGTCACCATCATGGCCTGGGCAGCCTGGATGTCGGGGGGCAGGCCTAGAAGGGTGCTGTAGATGTCACACTGGGTGATTCCTGTGCTGTGCGTGGCACACTCCATCCAGAGACCCTTGGAGAAGCCGACTGCCGTCACAATGCTAGCACCAACATAAGAACTTGTTCGCCAGCTGGGGAGCAGCATGGCCACCAGGGTGCCCAACAGTCCCAGAAAGCCCAGGACATAGCCTATAAGTTGAATGCCAAGAGAGGCCATGGCAGACCTCTCAGTAGAAGTGTCTTCAGGGCTTGCCTTCTTGTGTTCTGGCTGCAGCTCTTGCTCCTTGAATCCCAGCCTCTATTTCCTAATTTCAGAGTCTCTCTGCTATGCTGACTTCTCTTCTCCTTACAAGTGTCTGTGGGTGGCCACAATCAGGCTCAAGAAGGCATCTAGAAGACCTAAAAAAAAAAAATCCATAAACCAGATTAAATATTGACCAGAAGCTTATGAGAAACTAGAAAATACCGGGTGCCTTTTGAACTTTGTTATCTTTAGAAATAAAGCATGAGAAAGGAAAAAAAAATTGAAAGTGGAGCCAAAATGTCATCACCTCCTACGTAGGCACATGTTTTAGGTTGGCAGCCAGACAGAATTAGGGGCCAGACAGGTGGCCATTTTCAAGAAGGTGATGATGGCACTGGCAGTTGTGGTGGCTGTGTTAACTCCATGTCTGGCTGTTGGCTGGCGTGGTTCTGTCTCCAAGGCCTTCTGTTTAACACACATTGCCCAGCAACAGTGACACAGGGCCCCTCAATTGCAGACTGAGGCCAAACTCCAGGAGACTAGACCAGGAATAACAGGTCCTAAGATACAGACTTGGACTCCAAGTTATTAGAAGCCTCTTGAATCTTCAAGGGCCTAGAAAACAGTGGTTTAGCTCTGGGTCATCCTACCCATGGTGAAAATCTACTCCAGGGCAGGTTGGGGTAGGCAACAAAGTCTTCTGTCTATACTCTAGAGTTCAGGTTCTCCAGGATCTGCCCAAATCCCCCTCCACATGCTAGCCCAGTGGTCAGCAAACTCATTAGTCAACAGAGCCAAATCAACAGTACAATAATTGAAATTTCTCTGGAGAGCCAAATTTTTTAAACTTAAACTTCTTCTAATGCCATTTCTTCAAAATAGACTTGCTCAGGCCGTGGTATTTTGTGGAACAGCCACACTCAAGGGGCCAAAGAGCCACATGTGGCTTGCGAGCCAGTTTGCCAACCATGAAGCTAGCCTAAGGCCTCCTGCATATATAATACACCCAGATGTTTTCCATCTATTCTCCTAATATATAGCCATATCAGCCCTAGAACTCTCAGATGATGTGGGAGGGCTCTGGAGCAAAGTTTGTTCCAGGGCCTGGATGGAATCCTAAAATTCCTTGGGCTCTCTGTTAGGGTGAACAGAGGAAAGGGAAGCCAAATAGAGGGCTTTGTAAGGGGAAAACATCTAAGCCAATCCTTTGGAAACTCAGAGCTGTCCAGGCTTTTGCAGTATTGAAGGAGCTGATAATCTTGCCAAGGTTCAAGACACTAAGGGTAAAGGGCACATCCTTCCTCCAGTCCACTAGCTTTCCAACCAGCATAATCTGGCTATTCCATTTTAGCCTTCCTCAAAATTGCTCTTACATTACCCATCTCTTAAATGAGTTTTCCTCAGAAGTCTATACTTTTTCTCAATTAACACTCTATCCCTGAGTACACTTATGCACTCTCATGACTTAATCTCACACCCATCCACTGGCATTCCCAGATCTGTATTTCCAGCATAAACCTTCTTCCTAAGCTTCAATACTGCCAAAACAATTACCTATTTAAAATTTCCACTTGAAAATCTCATAGACACCTCAAATTAAATGTGCTTAAGTAAAAATATATACCATATTTTTCTGTGTATAGGATGCCCCCACTTTCCCAACCCAAAATTAATAAATCAATATTTTAAACATTTTGCTTAAGGTCTTTTTTGGCAACTTAAGGAGTTGTTCTTCCTGTTTTCTTCATTGTCTGGTCATACACTCAGTGGGAGGAGGTCCAAGTTGTCTTCCTGCAGCTCTATTTCCATGCTCTTTTGCATAGCTGATTACATGCAGTTTGAATTTTGCAGAAAAAGACAATTGCTTATCAGTATTTATCTTTTTATGTTTTGACATTTTTATGGACTCAAAATGCTCGGGTCCCTATTGCATCTGCACATTCTCTACCTCAACCTACAATTACAGCATTAGCTCACATTAGTAACAATAAGGATTGTGATTGGAGGAAATCTGTTTGACAAGGAATGGGCAGCTATGCACCCGTATGGCTCCCTTCTCCGCTGACTTCCATGTATAAGATGCCCATTGGTTTTATACATGGAAAAATATGATAGTCACTTCTCCCATCACACCCCTCCTCAAGTAGGTCTTCCATGGATTCCCAAATGGACACTGAATGATATCTCTATTGATCCCTTGTGCTGGACCAAAATCCTGGGAGTGATTCTTGATACCTCTCTTACACTTATCCCTCACACTCTATGTTTACTGTCTCACCAATTCTACCTTATGGCTATCCCTCAAATCCATAGTACCAGTCTCTCCATCCCCACTGCTACTTTCCTAGTTCAGAGCTGCTTCATCCTCTTTCCTCTGGACTATTGTAATGACTTCCTAACTGGTCTTACTTCCAATCTTGCCCTTCCAATTCATTCTCCACGCTGTTGCTAAGGTGAGCTTTCAACACATTAATCTGATCAAGTCACTACTCTGCATAAAACGTTCCAGTGGCTCCCATCAGCTAAAGAATAAAGTCCAAACTTATTTGTATTCTATGAGTTCTCAAGCTTCATCTCTTGTCATTTTCCTCCTTATGCTCTATGCTTTAACTAAACTAAAATACTTTCAGTTCCTTAATCAGATCATGTTATCTTTTGCTTACAAACCTGAGCACTGCTGTTCCTTCTATACAGAATGCCTTGCATTCTTCTCAAGCTTTAGGACTCAACTCAGATATCTCTTACTTTAGCCAGGATCAAGTGGCCTTCCTCTATGTTCTTACAATATCTTGTGTTTACTTACCTCCACATAGTAATAATAAAAAGAATAGCTATACTTATATAGTGTTTCCTGACCATTATAAGCCCTTCACAAATGTTAACTCACTTTTTTCTTTTTTTTCCCAAATAAATCTTTATTGTTCAGATTATTACAGTTGTTCCCCCTTTTTCCCTCCATATCTCCCCTCTACCCAATTCCCACCCCACCTCTGCTCTTACCCCTCCCCCACTGTCCTCATCCATAGGTGTACAATTTTTGTCCAGTCTCTTCCCGACCCTCCACACCCTTTTCCTCCCCAGAGAATTGTCAGTCCACTCCCTTTCTATGCCCCTGATCTTATTTATTCACCAGTTTATTATGTACATCAGAGTTCTTATTCACTTGATTTTTACATTCACTTGTTGATAGATATATATTTTTGTCACTTTGTTATTCATAATTTTTCATCTTTACCTTTTTCTTCTTCCTCCTCTTCTTTTTAAAAAAAAAATATATTTTATTGATTTTTTTTTTACAGAGAGGAATAGAGAGGGATAGAGAGTTAGAAACATTGATGAGAGAGAATCATAGATCAGCTGCCTCTTGCAAACCCACTACTGGGAATATGCCTGCAACCAAGGTACATGCTCTTGACCAGAATCGAACTTGGGACTTTTCAGTCCGCCGGCTGACGCTCTATCCACTGAACCAAACCGGTTTCAGCATTCCTCTTCTTCTTAAAGAATACCTTTCAGCATGTCATGTAATACTGGTTTGGCAGTGATTAATTCTTTTAGCTTTTTCTTATCTGTGAAGCTCTTTACCTAACCTTCAATTCTAAATGATAGCTTTGCTGGATAGAGTAATCTTAGTTATTCTTGCTATTCATCACTTTAAATATTTCTTACACTATCTTCATATTTTTGGATTCTCCTTTCCTTTTGCTTTTCCAGTTGGGTGTTTTTTGCTTCTTCATATTTCAAATCTTTGGCTTGATTCTTGGGATCCTTTAGTCTACTGTTGGATCTCTGTATATTATTCTTTATTTTAGACAGTGTATGCTTAATTTCTCATTGGTCCTTCTTCATATCCTTGAGGGTTTCTCTAAATTTTTTGGAGGTTTCTAGAAGATTCTTGAGTAACCTTATAACCATGATTTAGAACTCTATATCCAGTAGTTTGCTTTCCTCCATTTCTTTCATTTGTGATCTGTTCCTTTGTCTCTGCATTTTGGCTGCTTCCCTGTGTTGATAAGAGTGGCTTTGTGTGGTAGGTGTCCTATAGGGCCCAGTGGCTCAGCCTCCCTAGTTGCCTGAGGTGGGCATTCTTGGTGCATCTCTTTGTGGGCTGTGTGCACAGTCTTGTTATAGTTAAGCCTTGATTGTTGTTGGTATCATTTGGAGGAATTGTCCTCCAGGCCAATTGGCTGTGAGGATCAATTGTGTCAATGATGGGAGAAACTTCTGTGCCGGAGACAACCTTATGGGGCAAGACTTGCTTCAGTGGGGTTTTGGCGCTCACTGAGTCTGACCCCTGAGTGTGTCTTTTATGGATATGAAGAATTATAGTCTGAATGGTCTCTCTCTGACCACTAGGTACACTAGATCTTGTATCTCCAAGGAGAGAGGCCATCCAGCAGGAGCTACAGAGAGATATGCAGATTCCTTCTCTTTGTTTGGGGTTTGGAGGTGCCCAGATGAGGCCCAGCTGTGAAGCAATGCAAGTTTCTGTCTACTCTTGTGTCTTCTTTGGAGGCTCTGGGGCTCTTTGACACAGCTGCAGTTTGTTAGGTTTCAGATTGCAAAGGGCCAGGCCATTCATATGCAAAAGCCTCTGCACACAGCTTGGGTGGGGTTGTAAATTGGGTGGGACTTAGTCTCAGGGAAGCACCAGAGTGGAGCAAGCAGCAATGGCTGACTGTCATTCCCTGCCTTGAAGAGGTCCCATGTCTCTGTGTCCCAGGGCACCATGCAGAAACAATGATCACTAGCACCTCTGAGAGAAAGCTGCTCTTGAGTTCCACCCAATGCCAGACAGTCCAGTTTCTCCCCATATGAATCAGGGTCCCCAGATTCTCGCCTGAAACGAGTTCAGAGCAGTTGGGAGCTTGTATCTCCCTCCAGATTGAAAAAGACAACAGCATACTCAGTTTCCAGCCCTTTCCGAGCACTTTCCTTTGTACCTCTGCATTTCAGTTCTGCACCTCTGTACCTCCTCAGAGTCCCAGTGTGCTTTTCTCTTTCCTTCTAGTTGTATAAATTCCACTCAGCCAACCTTCCCATGGTTCTAGATGATACCTGTTTTGTCTTTTAGTTGTAGTTTTGAAGTGGTTGTGCAAGGCAGCAAGTTCAGGTGTTTACCTATGCCGCCATCTTGGTTTTTCTTGTTAACTCA